TGGAGGGCATATGCATGGGTGAGACTCTGCAAGGTATGGACTTCGAGCAGGACCGATGATCTGCTAGGAGTTTTGCCAGGAAGCATGCGCCTCGGTCTGCGAGGACTTCGCGGGGTCTTCGACCGAACTAAGACTTCTGGACCGGGGCGTAGGATTCGGTGGTTGCCTTTCTTCGTTTCCTTTCATTGCTGGGTTGTCTGCAGCGATTGGCTGGAAACGGGCTTCAAGATCTGGACTTCGGATGGGTTTTCATTCGAACGAGATTATCTGGTGCCTCGGCCGTCGGCGAGTTACTCTTCTTGCCGTCCGGTGATGGCATCTTATCCTGAACAGGCGACTCTGGCAAAGTTGCTCTATACCAAGCTTAAGGTGCCTTGCATGGTCGAGGACCAGTGGCGTCTATCGGAGAGGGACATGTTCCTCGATCCAGCGTGGCTTTCATTGCTGAGCGAACATAGCGAGAGGAACTTCACATCTTCGATTGCCTCTGCTGCAGGTGTCGATCGAGAGCGCAAGGCGTATCTCGGACGCTGGCATGTGGTGGAGGCCAGTGATGAATACGTCCGGACGGCATGGCAGGTAGTTACCAGTTTGCAGAAGTTGATTGTTCAGACACTTTGTGAGTCCTCTGCGGAGCTGGCAAATTTTGCCCTTGATGCTTTGGACGAGAGATTTCAAAGCAAGGGGGCCTCGAAGGAGGCCAGGGACCTTCTTGCCAGCAACTGGTCCATGCCGGCTGAGTGGGCTGCGTGGCGCAAAGCAAGGCTCGATGTGGGACAGGGAGCAGCGATGCCCCCGGCTCCCGTAGTCAATGATGTACAGGAGTCTTTTGCATTCTACGTGACCGTGCTTGGCAAGCGCCGGCTCAGAAGACTGCATCGCAAAGGGGGCTGCGGGACGCAGCCGGATAAGGTGCGATGTGTAGAATACTTCGAGTCCCTGAAAGGCATTACATACGACTCGAAGTGCAGGCATTGCTTCCCGTCGGAACGGGATCCTCCGGAGGAGGAAGCATCCTCCGTGTCTTCGAGCACGGACTCGAGCTCGACTGAGTCATCGGGTGATTCATAAAAGGAGTCGGGGCGAGTGGACGCGTCTTGATTTTCGTGTGCCTTGTGCGAGCGGGTTTGCTTGCATGGCATCGACATGGACTTATGCGACGCGATGGACGATTGCGGCTCAGATGGGCCGCGTGGGAATCGTCATGTGACATGTCAGAGTGTGTAACTCTGTTGCATCGAACACATGTGACTCAATGTGTTCATGCGGGATCGACCACACCAGCATACTACCGCAAGAGTGATTTAATTTCGTTTAGAGGCCCGCGTCGGGGGGGTAGCCATGACAGGCCTCACGGCAGAACAGAAAGCAGACTTGGCGCGTCTGTCTTCGGACTTATTGTTCGTTCTGCAGGACTCAGGAGTTGCCTTGCCTTTTCAAGCACAGCTGGGACATCTGGGCATAATTTCGGTGCCGCTTTATGCAGGGCTAGATGAAACGCGTCAGAAGGTCAGGGACGCGCTTGCCGCAGATTTACCTCTGGACGTGGAGGCCGGCCCGGCAAATCGTTTGGAGATGGCAAAATTGCTAGTAGCGTGGGAAGCTGCTAAGTTGCAAACCGAGGCTACCCAACGCAATAGGGCCGAGTCTCGGCTGGGGGTGCAGCAGCGGCTCATCGAGCCCTCTGAGCATCAGGCCATGAGAACGGCAGTCGAGCAGGCCTTGGGCACCCTTCGGGATAAGGAAGTACCTGCCAAGCAAGTGATTGCTGCCTGGCTGGAGCAGATCCTAACATGCCGGTGGTCATGATGCTGACTGAAATTGCTTCGGTTGAAGATGCTGAGATTGAGTCATTTGAGGCCAAAATCGACCCGGTCACCGACACTCTTAAGATTAAGAGTGGCAAACACTCCGTGGCGGCCCCTTCGACTCCTGAGGAACTCAGGCTTCGGCATCGGCGCATCGGGCTGGCATGGGACATGTTGTGCACGAAGCATTCGAACCGCTCAACATGACAGACTGCATGAGGCGGTTTTCTGACTTCATTCTGGGCACCCAGGTGGCAGGCTTGGTGTCTGGTTCCAGGACGCCCGCGTGGAGCCTAGTCTTGGCTTTCGAGCACGAGTGTCGTAAGGCGGTCTGCAAGTGGCTTCGGGACGGCAAATGTGCTTCGCTTTCACAGAGGCATATGAAAAGGCCATTACAGATGTGGAGCTGCTCAACAGGTATCTCGTGATCCCCTTCTCTTTGAATACCAAAGAGACGGGTTGGGCGGCCAGCAACGTGCCTCCGCCGCCAGTTCACCTTGATGGTCCTCAACGTCCCAAGAAGGGCAAGAGCAAAGGCAAGGGGCAGGACACTGCCCCCAACACACCGAAGGGCAAGCTGACTAAGGCGACCGATGTGATGGAACGCCTATCTGTTGGAAGTACAACAGGCGCGGGGGTTGCTCAGACCAGAACTGCCGTTTCCTACACATTTGTCAGCGCTGTCAGGGTAAACACCCTTATTACAGTTGCAAGCACGTCAAGCGCCCGGCTGGGGCACTCACCACGCCTGCGCCTTCGGCGCAAGACTGACTAACGACGACCGATGAGGCCGTGGATTCACCGGCAGCTGCGAGCACAGGGCATTTTGCCGACTATAGGCTGCTGTATCTTTTCTCGGGCGCTTCTCGCAAAGGTGACTTGCGCTCGGCACTCTGCATGCTAGCACAGGCTTCCTCCACCACGGTGGAGGTGGAGGAGTTCGATCTTGTTCGCGGCCACGATCTGCTTGCGGACGATCTTTGGTTGCCCCTCCTGAGAAGGGTCAAGAATCATGAATTCACGCATCTTTTCTTGAGCCCTCCCTGCGAAACATTTTCTCGGGCTCCTTGGTCTAACAATCGAGGGCCGGCCCCTCTTCGCAGTGCTGACTGGCCCGAGGGATTTCCTTGGCTGCGCGGGGCCGACAAGGCCAAAGTCCAGACTGGTACTGAGCTGGTAAAGCGCTGTCTGCAGATGGTGTCTGTGGCGCATGAAGCCAAAGTGCATTGGCTTTGGGAGCATCCTGAGGACCTCGGGCCTACTCCTCGATGTTGTCCAGCCTCTGTGTGGAGCTGGCAAGAATCTCGAGCTCTTTTCGACAAGCTGCAAGCTTCCACTGTTGCGTTATATCAGTGTGCCTATGGGGAGGATTTTCGGAAGCCCACAAAGTTGACCGGCACCTGGGCTAACTTACCTGCCCTGGGTTTTTCAGGCTGGCCTCGTTTCAATGGGCTTCGCTATGTGGGGCCTCTGCCTAAAAAGTGTGGTCATCAGCGCCCCGCGCTTATTGGCCAGGATGCTTCTGGCCAGTTCCGTACCAAGCCAACAGCTGCTTATGGGCCTGCACTTTGCAAGGCCTTGGCCGAGTGCATGCTGGCAACGACGCCCTCATCCTCGTCGGTTTTCCCGGGTCGGTTGGTCGCTACAGATGAGGCCGTCGACGAGGCACTTTTCTCTAGCCAGGATCCGGAGGCCATTGCTAGTGCTCTGCTGTCCGACCAAGGCGCCTCCGTTTCCTTCAGCACCATTTTAAGGCTTTTCGAGTTGCTTCCGGGCGAGGCTCCGGCTCGGGGTGAGGCGACTTCGGTTTCTAAGTCTTTTGCTGTTGGGGCTTACGCGGTGGGCGGCAGTTTAGCTGGTCTTCGCAAAACTACAAAGCTGTTCCCTTCGGTTACTCGGGTCCTCTGCAATGCAATCAAGTCAATGGACAACAAGCTGATTTTTTTTGCTGTGGGAATCTTCAAGAACCTCCAGACGGCTCCTCACAAAGACTCTGGCAATCAAGCCGCTTGTGATAATCTGGTGGCGGCCCTCACCGATTTCAGCCAGGGCGGGATTTAGCTGGAGGCATCGGAGGGTCAAGTCCCTTGCCCTTTTGAGGAGGTTAGCAGCAACGGCATCGTTCTTGAACTTCCTCATCGTGGACATGTCAGGTTCGACCCTCGTCGGTTGCACTGCACGATGCCCTGGTCGCGATCGGACCGCGTGGTGTTGGTGGCATATACTCCCTTCTGCGGTCCTTCACTCAAGCATGCGGATCGGGTTGCGCTCTCAGAGCTGGGCTTTCAGCTGCCGGTGCAACAAGGCGACGGGGACCTACAACTGCCGTCTTCCTCGGGAGACATCTTGCCTTGCAAAGATGCGCCGAGTCTCGCTGCTATGCCGGAGGATAGTGGCGACAACACTCCTTCGGCGAAATCTTCTGCTAGAAAACGCGCTGGCCATGAAACGGCTCTCTGGGATGACAATGGCGATGGTCCTTCTGCGAAATCTTCTGCTAGAAAACGCACTTCAGATGGGGCGGCTCTCTGGGATGACAATGGCGATGGTCCTTCAGAATGGTGGCAGGCGTCTGGTCAGCAAGGGCGCTGGGTACAGGATCCGGAGGGCTCCACATCCGAAGAAGACGAGGACGGCGTGCCGAAAGCACCTCGTGGCTCGTGGCTCAGGCAAGTTAGGCTGGGGACCAGCCTTGCTTACACGTGCTGCAGGCAAGGTGAAGCGTTCAGTGATGGACTGGCTTGGCTTCTCCGGGGAGGCGCGAGGCCATGTGCTGACCTGGACCCGGGGCTGTCTTTTCACAAATCTCTCATGGACCAGCTTCTGCTTTACATCACCGACAACATCGACTACAAGAGGGTGGTATGTTTTCTTGCTACCGGGAGATGCACCAGCTCTCCCTTTTCGGAGAGGCAGCTGACCCAGGCTCGTGACGTGGTTTTCAGGTTGATTCGTGAACAGGGCTCGACTGCCCCGCTTGAGACGGTTCCTGAGAGACAGCCTTTCTACTTTCATGCGATTTCAGAAGTTCTACGCTTGGCCGACGACCCGGACTGGAGGCAGTACACTGTCTCCACACATTCGTTTGCCAATGGAGTTCCCTGGGGTGTCGATTTCCGAATGCCAAGGTGCCCTGCACTCTTCGAGCGAAAAAGGCGGCATCGCGACTTTACGGGGCTTGGGGCGCATGAGTGTGCGGAACTCCGCGATAATTATCGTTCGGCTGATGGGTTCGAGGACAAGATTGAATCTCAGTTCGACAAGGAGATCGGGTTGGGGGCTATGGTCAGGATGGAACTTTCGGAGGCGCAACAGCGCTTCGGTCGGGACCTTTCCATAGCTTCTTTAGGCTGTATCCCAAAGTCTGACGGGAGTGTACGCGTCGTACACGACGCTACACACGGACAACACGTCAACGATTCCATCCGGGTCAGGGGATGGGCAGGCCTACCCATCCGGCGCTGATTTGGAAGAGACGTTGCATTCGCTTCCCTATGCTACTTTCAGCCTGAGCGGCGACATCTCGCGGGCTCACCGCCTCTCCAAGGTCCGTGAACAGGACTGGCCTAAACAGGCATGCCGAGCACGCAAGCGCGGCAGTGTCTACTTGAACACAGTGGGCACCTTCGGCGTGACCAGCGCCAGTTACTGGTGGTACCGCTTGATGGGGGGCCTCGGTCGTTTCTTGTATTATTGTCATGGGAGAGACGAGACTACTCTTCTGTCTGATGTGGACGACTTGTTATGGATCACACAGTCGTCCGAGGGACTTTTGAGAATCCTGGGATCCATCCTGCTTCTTTCGGCGCTAGGCGTACCTTTCGCTTGGCACAAATTTGCAGGTGGAGGAGAGCATACTTGGATCGGCTATTCTCTTTGTGTGGCACGGCGCACCGTGGGCATTTCCTTGAGCCGAGCTGACTGGATTGTGGGCTGGATAAAGAAGACCAGAGCCGACGGTTTGGTTCGGGTTGCGGACCTTAGGTCGGTTCTAGGTAGGCTTTCTTTTGCTTTTTCTGTTATACCTCTCCTTAAGCCATTCTTGGGGCCCATTCATGCTTGGGCAGCAGCTGTCCAAGCTTGCCACACCTTGCGGTTGCCAAAGGCGGTTTCTTTGGTTTTGCTCTTTCTACAGAAGGCGCTCGAGCAAGGGAATGTCGAAGTACCCCGTTTTTCCTGCCCGCCAAAGGAACACTTCAGGACGGACGCCAAAGCTCAGGGCTCAGAGCTCTGGGTAGGAGGCTGGTGCTGTGCAGACGATGCGGATCCCCATCGCTGTCGCTGGTTTTTCGGAAAGGATTGATCATGTCAAGTTTCCGGTTTTCTTCATGGCGGGACAGTCCTATCGCTCCATAGGGGCGTTAGAGCTGCTGGCTACACTGATTGCACTTCTTCTTTTCGAACCGCAGAAAGGAACTCGTGGTGTCAATCATTGCTCTGCTGCGACGGATAATCGAGGCAATTCTTTCGTCAGTTCGCGGTGGATGACGACTTCTTTTCCGCTCAACGCTGTGCTTATGGAGGTCGCGGCCATCCTACAGCAAAGATCCCTGCATCTTGAGCTTCACTGGGCGCCACGGCTGCAGAACGCTCTGGCGGATGCTTTGACGAATCAACAGTACGATGCATTTGATTCCAAGCTGCGTTTGAGATTTGATTTCAGCATATACCGCTCCATCATTCTGAAGGATCTCATGGAAGCTGGAGTTTCGTTGTATGGAGATATCAAAGAATATAAAGAGAAGTGGCAGGGCAAAAGGGCTTCAAAGCTGCGCAAAGGCGAGAGACTCAGAGACGTGGATCCTTGGTCTTAGCCTCGCTCCCGTCAGCGGTGCTAGGGGATCAGTCGTTGCGGTTCGCATCGGCTGTGTGTCTGTCGAATGCCAGATGCCCCTTGGGCCATCGCACGCACTCTCCTCGTGATGAGGTGAAAAGAGGGAGTTATGTCACTGCGCTTACTTCTCTTTATCTTATTTGACACATTTGCAAGATATATTGGATTGTCGCTTTTCAATATATCGCTTAAATTTTGATCATCTATATTCTGACTTCCCGTCGCTTTTCAATATATCGCTTAAATTTTGATCATCTATATTCTGACTGTGGGAAGTATCTTCTCGGGTGGGCCCGGCGGGTGGCTTGCCTGAAATCACGAATGCTTTTCCTTTCAGGTTCTCCTCACGGAAATCTCGAGTTTCTTGGGCATATATACTTCCCAAGTTCAAGACAGAGTGGAAAGCAGGACGACCCATTGTCAGTTTCTCGGCCCACCCAGCTCGTCAGTTCCTCATCGTCATGGCCAAGGTGACCGAGATGCTAGTCGAGAATGTTTGCCCGCACACTAGACCCTACAATGATGCCATTCTGATCTGGCAAGCTATTCATCAACCGTTTGGTCAATCGAGTGCGGACACGCCCCCCCCCAGCGTGACTTTCTGACCTTGCACAATCAGGACCTGTCAGGTTGCTTTGTCAGCATTCCGGTGGAAAGGTTCATGTTGACCTTTCGCATCTTGTTGACCAAGTTCTATGACTGCGCTGATGAGGACTTGGAGGACACTTTACGAAACGCAATCATTACCAGGTGATCTCGCCAATGACCTTTCGGTCATGAAAACCATACGTGGTCGACATTGCTTGGTTCATGACAAGCATGTCGCCGTTCCCATGTGTCTTTTTCTTGAAGCCGTACGAGTGTCGCTCAAGTTTACATTGTTCACGGTTGGCGGTCAGACCATTCAACAACTGCGCGGAGCGCCTATGGGCAGCCACTTCTCGCCAGCGGCATGTCACGCCGTGGTCAGCTTGTATGAGCACATGTATTTTGGACATTGCTTGCTACAGTCTGCCAGGATACCCACTTTCGGCTTGGTTGTCCGTTACGTTGAAAATCGATTAGGCTTGCTGCATCAGAGTTGTGACAAACAGTTGGTGGTACAAGCTTTCCTGCATCAAGACATGTACATCCCGCCTATTGTGCTGGAATATGAAGATGGCAATGTCTTCCTGGGATTTGAGGTAGACCCTATTGCTCGCACAGTCTCATATGTTCAGCCTGATGCATCGTGGAGGTTTCTACACCGACTGTCCGCTGCCAACACTCGAACGTTGTTAAGTAGCTTTCGCTCCAGAGCACATTTGATTACAAGGGCGTCATGGCCAAAGGAGCAACGGGATCGCGATCTTCATCTATTGCAGCAGGCCTACATGGATCAGGCGTATGATGAACGCTTGCTCTCACCCATCTTGAGACACATTCGATTTCAAGCTGATTTTCGTCACTCTTCGCAGTCGCACTAATGTACGGGAAAGAAGCTTGTGTCACTGCTTGTTTGCTTACCTGACTCTGTTGCTTTGGCTTTTGTTGCTTGTTCCCGGAACTGTACCATACTGCGGTGGTAATGCTCAAGATCCTGTTGTTCGTGTTTGCAGCAGCGCGCACCCTTCTGCAGACTTCATTGCCATGGCTTCTAACCAGGAGGAGTTGATGAAACTTTTTCCGAAGTCCTCCGGCCCTCCGGGAACCCCCAGTTCCTCGACGGAGATGTACATCCGCCCGCGCGTTACACATGAAGAAACCGCGCCCTGGCCAACCCGAGCCAACTCCCGGAGTGGGCGCTGGCAACCCCCTCCCCGTCCGCCTCCTTCCCCCCTCCTCCTCGCACCCCAGCTTTGCCGTCTGAGAGTTATTCGGAAAGGGCGCCCCTTCCCCGTGCTCCGCCCCCTACACCGTACCTGACCCTCACCGCAGGACAAGGCATGAATGCGGCAAGCAGTCAGATTCATAATGAGGAGATGGCAAACCGTATATTGGAACGTATTCATGAAGTGTTACCCCGCGACTATCAGAGCCGCTCCCGCAGCCCGCCTATTCATCCCAGCCCTCCGCTGCCAAGACGACGCCAAGCCATTTCGGATGAACCAGAGTCGTCCGCTGTATTGGCGGTTGCCCAAGCCGGTCAGCGTACTTTTGATTACCCTACGGGTCCGATGCTCCCTGAACAGTCTCGGGATTGGATCAAGATTACAACCGATGATTACTCGGAGCTGTGGGTTCGATTCTACGCTGTCCCGCCGCATCAGAGAGGCAGGTTTGATCATCAACGTGCGGTTTGGGGGCAGTTTCATTGCACAAGGATTGTCTCCAGCATGGAGTTGTACGGATTTGATCCGACAGACGACGCCAAGGAGAAAAAGTCGCAATGGAAGATGTTTGAAAAGCTCTTGCTATGCTACAGGGCAGCTGTTATCGAGGATCCCAGCCGTATTCGAGCAGCCGTGGAGTTGAGCAGCGAGCAGTGCCCGGTTCTCAATGCAGGCCCGTTTGATTTGCAAGAACGGTGGCTGGCAACTCTGCTTGCTGGAGCTGATGCCAATGCCCGCTTTGCTTGGTCGGATGAAAGCCAGACGTTGTCGATGGGATATGTGCCGATCCAGCAGGTGAAAGGCCTCGCGAGATCACTGTCGGCAGTTCCAAAGTTGAGACCCTTTGTTCGAGAGGATATGTTGGCCGGCCGCGGTGCATATTGGTTGTTCCCATCTGGCTCAGACCAATTCTGCGGCGCTAATGACATGGGAGGCTATGAAGCCCCCGTCGGCATCTATCTCATTCTTGGTACCCAGCTTCCGGATGACCCCAACACCTGCTACAGCGTGCCTTTTGTGCACAATACGGTGTGCCAGGATCTGTCGTCGATCATTGCCCAGAAGGTAATTCGCCCCAGCTATTATGATCGTGGCGACAAAACGTGGCCACCGTCCATGGGCTTCTACGGACGCATGGTTCATCCCACCTCTGCTATTCGACAGCCTGTGCTTGATGGATCTCAGCCGGACCATCTGTATGCCGTGACTTCTTCGATGCACACTGCCCGCCGGTACGGCGGGAAGGAATCTGATACAAGAACGGTGGCAGCAGTTGGTTGGATGCAAAGGTTGCACATACGTCCGGTCCAGTCTTTGGACACATGTTTGATTTGGTTCATGGAACTGATGGACGATGGCTCTTCCGTAGCTCCCGCAGTATCTTAGCTGGAGCAGCTACGTTCTGGTCCGGCTGGCAGTCTTGAAGTGATTTGATTGATTATGGTAAGGATGCTTTAATCGCATTGCCCAGTCTTTCATACTGTTCCTATGCTCACCTGCTGAGTGCGCTGAACATATCTACCAGACCTTCATTTCCATTCCGAACGATGTGTGGATGAATTATTCCAGGAGAAGCGTTCGGTCGGATCAACACGCCCGTGCTGATCAGATTCTCCTTGGATTGTATGCTGGTGTACAGTCGCGCGGTCGTCTTCAGTTTACGAGGAACACTTTCAGATTTCCCAATTTGACCAGACTGATGCTGCGGGTTATACAGCTTTTGCCTCATTTGCAGGACTTCGAGTGCACAAGTATTCAGATTAACCGCAACTTACGAACTATTCCACATCGCGACTCCAACAATCGGGGCTACAGCATTGGGTAGGCCTTGGGCAATTGGATTGGAGGCGAGCTATTTCTTCATGACCCACATGGCACTGATCAGCTTGTCATAACGGATCCCACGTGTCGAGTTGCTCGAGTTGGTGATATTCTACGTGGAAGACGGTTGGACGTTCGACATCCCATATGTTTCGACGGCAACACTATTCATGCTACACTACCTTTTCTTCAAGCGATCGATTTATGATGGTCTTTTTCTGCGTTAAAAGAAACATTCCCGTCTCACCCACCTCTTCTTGCCTCTCTTTTGCTCGTTTCCTGGGTTTCCGTGTTTCGGTCCTGTCGTCCTCTTCTCCTTCTCCTTCTCTTGCCGTTCCCGTGCCCTCCCTTCTCGGTTGTGCTTCTCCCTCTCTTGTCCCCTCTCCTTTCCCCTCCTCCCCTGTTTCTTCGTCTGCTCGGTCGCTTGTCTCCTCGCTCTCAGTCCTCTCTTTCTCGTCCTTCGTTTTGCGTTCTCCTCCTTCTCTCTCCGTCCCCTCTCCTTGTGGCTCCCTTTCCCCTCCTTCTCTTTCGTCTCCCGTCCCGGATCAGTGCTTCTTTTCGGGGTCCGAAATTGCGGATTCCACATCAGACCAGGAGTTTTTGATGGCCGCATAAAATTGACGATCTGCTCTTGATTGTTCAGTGCAATCCTGCGCCATTCTTTCTCCCTGTTGATTCTGTTCAGGTTCTTGGCTTATTCCTGTGAAGATGTAGGCACGTGCCATGGCGGAAGTCTTCAGTTTGCCCAATATGTCAGACAGCATCTTCAGCTTTATCGCTGAACGAACGTGCACCTTGTTCTTTTACTTCTCAAGAGCCTCGGGCTATGCGACGGATCAACGACCGGAACTCCGATCGTTTATTCCGGATTCGGAACAAGGTCTTTACCACACCTACTTGCAGCATGTGCTCCGACTTCTCAAGAACTTGATTTTAGATCAAATGAGCGATATCGGAGCCGTCAATATTATTCTTCACAATGCTGTCGGTGTGAACACAGAACCAACACGTTTGGAGATCCGTCAAGTGGATACCGGTCTTCGAAAGTTCATGTTGGTCGAGGAACTCATTCAGGGACATATGTTGTATGTGCCGGTGATGTTCAGTGTACCTGCACTACCTCAAGTGACCTTTGCTGCCGCTGCATGTCACTGGATGTTGGCGTCAATTATGCGCCAGATCAATCACGGAGCAATGATTGACACGGCTTCACTCATTCGCCTTGCACAGCAGAAAGAGATGATTTTTGATTGGATCCAGCGACCTCTTGAAGACAGATACAGGCCATGCGCTAGCCTCATTGGCTATGTTCAGATGAAACGTGTCCGCCATCCCATTAACTCATGATCTGTGCAGGAGCCAAAAAGTAGACCAGTTTTTGCACCAACCCTGACCTCAGACTCTGCAACATGTTGCAGTGTTGAAGCGGTTGACGCGAGCGTTTGGTAGCATCATTTTCTCACTGCAGCCTTTTGTCGATTGATGTAGCTAACATGTCTGTTCTTTTTGAGCTGTGGATGCATCCCAGCATTTGTGTGCACATGCTATCTTTCCTGATGATTTGCAGCATCATTCGGGTTGATCCGACCTTATGCACCTCACCGGATTCATGCAGAATTGGTCAATATGCTCAGTGGAGTCGATGGCTCATGCTGGGAGTTGGACGATGTTTTCAAGCACACAATTTTGCAGATCTATCCAATGATGGTGCTACCTTCCGATTTACACATCTGCTTGCGACCGTCAGTCAGGCTCTCCTGCAATTGTCCAGACAAAGCCGAACCTTGACCAGGTTGTATTACAAGTGGCTCATGCGACTCCGAATACCACATGGATCCAACCTTGACTTAAGATGCACCGCGCAGTTTCTGGCTATCTACACATGCTGGTGCCGCATTCCAGAAGTTACACTGTCACACTGTTCCTTCCGTTGCCCGTAGTGTCTCTTGATGATGCTTTAAGCTCTTATGTACAGTTCAGAAGGACGGAGTTGTGTGCATTAGGTGAAAATTCCTCCGATTTGCACCCAGACGTTATGCATTGGTGGCGATGTGTATTTCAGGAGACGTATTCCACAGCCAGCAGGTCCAAGTGATTAGTGCGCAACATGTCTGACCTTCTGCCGCCATGCCGAGAACTTGTCAACACCTTGAGTGACGAACATGCCAAGGCCCTTTTTCAGATGCCGACGGATTCATCCACAGCTCGTGAGTTATGCCGCATTCTGAAGCAACGCATCCGAGCTGATACTGATGCTGCTATCGCCAGACATTTACATGCTGCAAATGCTCGTGATGGTGGAGCTACCGCGATCCCAGATCAGACCAACGGTCCCGCTCAATCATGTCTCTCTGGTCCTTCCCGTTCCCCTCTTCCTTCTGTCTCGTCCTAGTTTTCTTCTTCGTTTGTTTCTGCTCCCTTTTCTTCCTTTCCTCTCTTTTCTTCTCTTCCCCCGCTGCCCCCTCCTCCCCTTCCTCCCCCATCATTCCCTCCTCCGCTTCCTCCCCTTCCCCCTCCTCCTTTTCCTCCTCCCTCTTTCCCTGTCTCTCCTTCTCCGTCTTTTCCTCGTCCCGTGTCGTCTTCCGTTGCCCCTCCCCCGGCTTTCCTGTCTCCTCCTTCTTCGTCGGCTCCTTCCTCTTCTTCCTCCCCGGTTGTTTTTGTCTTGTCGTCTGGGACGCTGAGCAATGCTGCGCCACCTGAATCTGAAGATGCTGCATCGCAGTTTCGGAATGGCCTCATGCAAGACATTGTGAATCGAGCCAGTTCGCCAGCTCAACCGTATCTAACTAAATGCAGCCTCTTTGGCAGCCATGAGAGAGATTAATCCTCACAGCAGAGCAGCTTTACCCCGAAGACGTCGTCAACGCCGACATTCTGCTCTTGGGCCACAATGGAACTGGACGGATGCTATGATCAAGGAACGCTCTCGCTCCAGATCCGACACTACGGTCTCACCAGGTGGCACCCGAGAACTACGCTGACGTTATTGCCGCTCATATGTCAAAAAGAAGTCCTTAGCCCGTCTACAGAGTACAAGTATGTTGCGAGCTTCTCATTGGTCTAATTTTTCGTGTTTCGGTGCATTCTCTTTTGCTGCACGTTTTGGGCCACAGGCATTTGTGTGGTGTAAAGTCTTCTTCAGGTCTTGCATCCCAACTTGTTAAAAGCCATGGATTCGAGTCCGCTTGGTTCCGTCAGTGCATCAGATGGACGGGCACAGGATTCGCCAAGAAGTACCCAGGTTCTTACAGAAGTTGACACGTATGAGGACATTGTTGCAAACAGTGCTTCTGCTCATGTGACACCGATTACATATTCTCAGCCCGAGCTACTCATTCGCACTTTTCAAGGTCAGCTTGATGCCATGATGGTGGAACATGAAAGGATGCGTCAACAGCTGTCAACACTCACCGATACTTTACAGACTTGGCAAATTGAACAGCAGCGGACTATTGCTCTTCTTCGCCGAATCCAAGAAGTTATGGACCCTGAATTTGCTCCTGGAGAACCACTTCATGGTCTGCGAATTCCGTAGTGCGTTGGGACAACACATATTGCCTTGAACGGAGAAAAATGAGTGTCCGCACTGTTTGCTTAAGGCAGTCATGTCTACCGGCGCGTTCTGTTGCTTCATGTTTGCGTCCGTTTTGCAGCCTTCGATCCCCTAAGCTTTTCTGAAGTTTCATGGTCTAGGAGAATGGCTGCTCACACCGCGTTGATGATTCCGGAAGTATCTAACACCATTATGACTTTGATCTCCCGGTCATTTCACATTTGACCGGACAAGCTCTGCCAGAGTGATGGACCGACAGCATGCTGTTATTACCACGGCACGACTTCTCCAGGATAAGCTTCGACCACTTCCGGTGTTGTTCTGTCGGATGATTCGTCCTCATATTGTACCGAATGACGAGCCATACTGCTACACAGTGCATATTCTGCAGATTGATGCAATTCGCTGCCGCAGAATTGGTGCTGCGTCCAAGGCGTGGATGCATATGGCTTTCCTCATCGCCAAAGGTACAGGACGTATACGTCCGCAGTCATTTCCTACTATGGCATTGGATCATAATGTCAGTTGCACGCTGCACTTTGATGAAGACCACATTGATGTCAAAACTGACGTGTCCATCGCTGATCTCATGCATGTTCAGCTGTTCAAATGCCCTGTGAGCCTTCCGTGTTCTACAGCTGAGTGAATGTTCTCTACCATATACCGCGAAGACTGCTCGCATGAAGGGAAAAGATGGACTGCAATGCTTTATGTGTTTGTCTTTCTCCTCTCTCTCTCTCTCTCTCTCTCTCTCTCTCTCTCTCTCTTCTCTCTCCTTCTCTCTCCTTCTCTCTCTTCTCTCTCCTCTCTCTCTCCTCTCTCTCTTCTTTCTCTCTCTCTTCTTTCTCTCTCTCTTCTTTCTTTCTCTCTTCTTTCTTTCTCTCTTCTTTCTCTCTCTCTTCTTTCTCTCTCTCTTCTTTCTCTCTCTCTCTCTCTCTCTCTCTCTCTCTCTCTGTCTCGCTCTCTTCACTCACGGACTTACTCACTCACTGCTCTCTGTCTCTCACTCTCTCAC